TCATCTGTTAAACGAATGAAGCGATAGTATTGAAGTCAACAACTCTGAATGCAAGTGGCTCATTCTGAAGACCTAAGTTTGTTTGAAGCTTTACTGTCCCGTATTCGTTTGGGTCTGTACTTTGCAAATAGAACAACATTTTATTCTCATTAAAATATGACTATTGCTGCATATGCGTATGAAGCTGACAGAGCTAAACGTTTATATTTTGGTCAATACTCTCTCACACTTACTGACAAATATATTGTTATTTCTGATGGAAATACCGAGAAATACATAACATGGAAGGACTATGAAAAGTTTGACCCTATTTTAACTCCATGTACTATGCCATTCATTGTAAATGGTGAAGTTGTCATGAAAAACGACACAACAGTATATAAGTCTGTTCATGAAGCGTTAGAATATATGTTGAATTATAATCCCGAAATATTTGACCCAAGCACTACACCATGTGCAATGCCTTTTATTAAGGATGGTGAAATCGTAAGAGTTCCGGATTCAACGATTTATACTGCTGTTCAAAACAGTTTACAAAACATTTTAGCGAATATCTTTAATTCAGAAACTACAGAAATAAAATTACCGTATATAACAGATGCTAAAGAAATTAAATCAAAAACGACAACATTATTTACGTCACTTAATGATTTAATGACTTATATCATTAATATTCCTGCACCAACTACAGCATTTGATCCAAACTCGACGGTTTGCAGTGTACCTTTCATAAAGTCGCAAACGACTCTTTGAGTCCTGAAGGTCTTTCAGACCGAAGCGACCAGGGCGAAGCCCATGACAGTTCAGTAATTGTTTTAAGGGATTCAACAGTTAATGAATCATTAAAGGCGTCATTAATGAAAATCATTGATTTTAACTCATTCACGAATACATATAATTCATTCATTAATGTTTCATATGCTTCTAAAGAAGGTGAGCCAAAAACTATGATAAAGCGGTGTATGAAATAAAAGCATCAACGACGAAATTGAATTCGTTAACTTTTGACGGTGATAGTTTCGTTAATGACATAACATCGGGGAAAACAATTTTAACGAAAGAATACTTAAAATCTCATGTTAGTGAGTTCGTTGAAATTGAAAAAAGAAGGTGGAATTAAGTTCGATCCACTGAGTTCATTTTCAGCTTAGCGAATGCAGGTATTAGTTTCGCTGAATGGACAACTATACAGAGTGAAATAAATGCAATATGGACGTTTTTGGGGTCAAAAGCGGGAATGGGTGAGCTTGTAAATGCTGCAAGAACATTAGGTGAAACAGGAAATTTTGTAGATGGTTTTAAAAGACTTGTTCAAATGTTTTTAACAAACACAAAGAAATTATTTAGATATACCATACATAACGACGGATTTTCGAACAGATAGCAACAAACCCTCCGGTTATGGCTGCGTTGATGATGGTTAGAGATATAAAACCACGTAACGACGGGAACGAAGAACATGAACAACAGAGCCCAACGGGCTCAGAGCCACATAGTGGCGAGGATACTGGTCGGGTTATTCAAGACATTAAAAACGTGTATCCTGAAGTTATTGATTTATTTAGAGGAGTTAATGATTCAATTTCAAAACATTCTATAACCCTCGATGAAGAGAATAAATTAACAGATTATATATTCGTCATTATTGCAGAACTAATGAAGAGAATAAATGAAAAAGGAATTGGTGATATCATTAATGTCAGCGATGTAATGATGAAAAAGAAATTTTGACTCATTATTTACAAAACCGAAAACAGAATATAGTCTTTATGACGTAATTACCGAATTAATGAAAAAGATTAATGATAATAAGAGTTCTGGCGGAAGAGTTGAATTAGAAGTGAATGATGTTAATGAGAAATTAGCCGAAAAGCAGATTAAAAACCACGTTCATTATATAACTTCAGACGAAACAGATTATAACGGACTACCATGGATATTAACACAGAATAACAAATAAGCACTGAGATGTTAATGAAAGAAGATATAAATACATTCGTGCTAAAGGTTATGACATAAGCTGTACTGTACATTATGACACAGGTAAAGCACAAGAAGCATTTAGTTATAACGATGAAATTTATGCCTCTACTTTCTCTGTTAAAGGTGTATTAGTTGAACCAAGATTACTTTGAGAGTTAAGTCAAAAATAACGTTTGAAGATGCTATTAAAAGTAAAGCTGACAAAGTTGAACTCGAAGCAATGAACAAAGTTTTGAAATCTCATAAACACAACATCTCCGATATAAATGAACTTCAAACTTCTTTAGACAGTAAAGCCGACAAGAACCATACACATAAATCCTTCACTACTGTTAGAGCAGACGACATAATATTGAACTTTGACCTTGGTTCAAGTGCACCATTAGAAAATCCAAGTACAAGCGTAAAAGATACCACTAAACTCCTTAAATAGTTAAATGTATGAACATTGAAAGTCATGTCAGAAACTTTGAAACCCATGAACTACCAGCAATGTTATAAGAAAGCAGACAAGAACCATACACATACAAGTTTTACAACTGTTGGTATAGAAAGATTGAAGGAACGGTTGAAGAAACTGGTGGGATGCATTATATGTAAACCTCCTAACTTTCCACAAGGTTTAACATCGGATGAACGACATAACGACGATGAAAACATTAGATGTAAAGATGTTTATTCAATGAAGGATGAACATAATATTAAATTCACTGCTCAAGATTTATATGACAAGAAAGCCGACAAGAACCATACACATAAATCCTTCACTACTGTTAGAGCAGACGACATAATATTGAACTTTGACCTTGTTCAAGTGCACCATTAGAAAATCCAAGTACAAGCGTAAAAGATACACTAAACAATTTAGATAAGAGTTGCAGGAATACCGAAGATCATGCCAGAAACTTTGAAGCATATGAACTACCAGCAATGTTAGATAAGAAAGCTGACAAAACTTATGTGGATGCAGAACTAACAAAGAAATTTTCGAAACCAGATACAATGACATTTACAACAGAAATTATAAATGGTGAACCATCAACTCCATTTGAATTTGTTAGAGGTCTTCAACCAGATACTTTTGAATTTTTCTTGGATAATTCTATTGAACTAACATTACATTATAAAAGTGGAACAAATGCAACATTTCATCCGGGAGATACATTCCAAATGGTATTTAATGACATAAGTTCTTTAGAATATGTTTATAGAGTTATGAGCATATATGATTTAATATATCCTATAGGAGCTGTTTATACGTCTATGAATCCAATAAATCCAAACACTTTATTTGGTGGTAGATGGTATGAAATAGTTGACAGTTTTCCATTCTACACTAATACGCAGTCAATGAAGATGGGAGGTTCAAAGAAAATAGGTATTGAAAACCTTCCTTCACATATGCATAGGTTCAGTGGAAGAACATCTGTGGAAGGAAACCATTCACATTCAATAACAAAAAGAGGTTATACAAATCTTGCAGCGGGTTCGGATAGACAGGGAATGCATAGATATGATATTTCAACTGACCCAGTAGATGTTAGCACAGGTATTTTCTGTGGAACTGCAGGAAATCATACACATGTTGTAGCTGGTATTACAGACCCAGCAGGTAATGGAAAAGATTATATGCCTCCTTATATAACAATGCACGCTTGGATACGAGTTGGTTAAAATCTTTAACTTTACATAAATGAGCTTGAAAGAAGTATTCGAACAACATCCATGGAGGTCATTTAAGAAATTCAATGAAGCTGCAAAGAGTCGGGGATTTACTAACAGAGCTGAAGTGAAAAGGTTCTTTGACAAAAATGTTGTACATCAAACAAAAATAAACCCTTACGACTACTTTTTACCAATTTACTCCAACACTCCTGACGCATACCAATTTGACACTCTCATTCAAAGCAGAAAATGTGGTCATAAACCATTCCTCATCTTCATAAATGTTAACACTCGTAAAGCTTTTGCGTATATAATGAGAAATAAAGGAACTCGTGAAGTGTTAAGAGTTTTACAAAAGTTTGTAGCAGAACATAACCCAAGTACTTTAACATCAGACCAAGACAGTGCATACCTCAGCAATGAAATCACAGAATTTCTCATTAAGCATAACATAACTCACTACACTACTGAAGACCATAACCATAACATACTCGGTATCATTAACCGCTTCATAAGGACTCTCAGAGATTTAAATCAAGAGCGAGACTTTACCGAAGAAACAATGAAACATTTTCTCGAAGTATATAATTCCTCAACACATTCTACAACAGGACATACACCAAATTCAATGACACAACAACAAGAAGAAAAGTATATACAAAAGAAACGAAGTCAAACACAAAATATCAGAAATTCAACACAATTTACTCTCATTCCTGGTACAAAAGTTCGTGTAGTTCTTGACGACAAACCGTTGACAAAGAAACGTTTAAGGTTAAGTCGAAATTATTATATCGTAGACTCTACGCAAGGTAATGGATATCTTATAAAAGCTGCTGACGACTCCATAGCATTTTACCCTCGTCATAAATTAGTCGAAAGTAGTAATGGCAAACTTGCTGAAACCATTGACGAAGCAAAGCGAGGAGTGGTTATTGAAATACTTGACTACAACATAAACGATGACACTTATAAAGTAAGATATGAAGGAGGCGTTGAAGATGTTATACCATCTAAGAACTTGAGAGAATCTAAACCAACTCATCTGGGACCATTAGAGCGGGAGTACTGGAAAGATAAAAACATGCCAGAAAGAATAAGAAAATTCTTCTAAACTTTTTCGTTGGATGTAAATCAGACATGAATGAGAACAGTCATGATATCATTAATGGTACCATTTATTTTTGTCATAAACTTTATTTATGTTAGAATGTTAGATCTAACACGTTTTCTAACCACTTTTCTAACATGGTCTAAAACTCTCGAAAATCATGAATTTTTGACATTTCCTTATGAAAGAAAAATAACGCTAATTTTTTTCTAAGAAAAATTTTTATCTTGTATGTAAAGATATGATTTCAACAATAGGTTCTACAACACTTCAAGCCGCGAACGGCGGGACTCTGTCCACAACAACTTCACCAAACTCTTTAGTTATGAATCCAACATCTATGTTAGTAGAGATGAAAAGCTTCATTCCTTCTTCATATACTTTTGAGACAGAAATACAAAGAATTAAGCAAGAACTTTTAACAAGTAATTTAGACTGTAGTGCGAAAGATGAAACAAATGAACAGTATCTTTATGACATGCAGGATATTATTGACCATTTACCCAAATTGCCTGAAATCCAACAACAAAAGCTCACTATTCATGAATTCGATGAAATAGAAGTGAAACCAACTGACTCAGTAGAAATAAAGAAGTTCATACGTAAAGTAAACTATGAGTTTCTAGGATATCATTGCAACCATAAAGTTATGGACAAAGATTGCGACATGGTATATAAGAACATCTCTGACATATATAAATCTGGGGAGTTTAAGGCATTCGACAACTTTGTTTCATTAGTTGCTGAATGTGTATGGGAAATAAGAGATAAAGATAGAAGAGGTAAGGTATGGAATGAACAGATAAAACCAACAACTTTTGAGTTAAAGAAAACCATTGACGCCTTAGTTGTTCTAGCAGGTCAAATTTCAATGTATAACGCAAAAATGAATCCGCAATGTTCTAAATGTAAAGCAGCAATGAGGAAATATAACTACTCCGTCAAAGAGATAGAAAGAATGAGAAACGACTATGCAGACTTAAAGAAAGAAATGACAAACATTGAGTTTGAAACAGTTGGAAAGATAGACAATGACACCAAAGTGGTTAGAATAGGTGATTTAAACGTAAGATACTCAAAGAAATACAACAAATATTCTTTGTCAGACATTATATCTCCATCTGGAAAGAGACCGCAGGACTGGGTTAGAATTGCTTCAACTCAGAAAATTTTGACAAGAAATCCTGAGCTTATGATATCAGTAAAATTCTATGGAACTACAGCATATCTCATCGACAAAAGTCTTATACCAATAGTTTTGTTATGGATTGACCCAGTTGTTGGATATAACTTCATAACTTATGGTTCATTCGATACGGAACGTTGCAGTGAAGGCTTACTTTACATCGTTCAGAAACCGAAGGACTTCAACACAAAAAGATATAAGATAGGAAGGACATATAATATAACTCTAAGATATGACAGTACAGTCAATAGAGTCAAGGTTGTGTTCGTTAATGATATGAGAGCTGCTGAAACAGAACTACTTGAAAAGTTTGAGAAAATGTATGGTGCTCCCATAAAAGGTAAAGAAACGTTTGAAGTAGATGAGATAGATAAAGCTATAAAATTATTTGACGAAGTTGCTGAAAAATACATGTAAAGCGTTTATTTTTGGTCTTTTGTGAAAGATAGAAAAAATAAAGTTAGTTTTATTTTATTTATTTTTTTATCCTGTATGTAAGAACAGATATGTCAACATCAGAGAACACAACAACTGCTATCGTTCATGAAGCCATAAATGAAGAATACGAATACATACAGTATAACAAACAGTTACGTCTCATTCGTTCAGTCAAAGATGATATGTATCAAATGCAAAGTATAATGAACGCTCTTCGTTCTACAAAGCAAGCATATCATTGGTTTGAAAACCAACAGGCAAAAGAACTTTTAGAAGAATTTCCTCATATGATTGCTTCCCTCGGAAAACCGAGGGAAGAGATTCCGTACGAAAATCGCAAGAATTTGGCTCCTGGTTTGAAAGGTTATTATGTTCATAGACTTTTAGTAAATGCAGTTGCAATGTGGGCTTCACCTCGTTATGCTTGTTATATTTTCATGATGTTAGATGAACTATATAAAGCAGAACGTGGAGAGATGGAAAAGAAACTTCAAGCAAAAGATGAAGTCATTGAATCCAAAGACAAAAGCATACAGAAAAGAATACCACGTTCAGTACCAAAAGGAAAGGAAAAGAGTTATAAGTATATGATTTACGCTGAAGAGATGGAGAATGAAGAAGATAAAGATATGGTTATGTTGCATTTAGTCAGAAGAAACAACAAAAGCTTTTATGACCTTGCTAAGATTTACAAATCTGACAGAAACTGGTTCTATCGTGAAAACTTACCGATTTCAATGACACCGAATGAGCAAATAAAGGAAATTGTCAAAAATACTCTTCCTCAAACACACTATGACATCAAAGGTTGCACAATACTTACCTTCAAAGAAGACTTAACATTACTGAAGGAAAAAATAACAGAATATTTCGACAACTTCAAAGAGGAAGAATGAAGTCACGACAACATTAACGAAGAAGTCACGACAACATTAACGAAGAGAGAATGAGGTGAAAAAACAGGTGACATCTCACCTCTTCACCAAAAATATATTTTTGCTTAAATAGCTTCAGGGTCAATTTCTTCAACCATTTCACTTCCTTCGTCAATGTCAATAGAAGCTTCTTCAACCTTTGGTAAGAACTTTTGTATAACATCTTTGTTCGTTATTGTTTTCAGAGATGAAGAATAATATTTCACATTTATTTCACCCTTCTTATATTCTTTCTGTTCGGAAAGATTTAAAGCAATACTGAAGAAGTCAATGTTGGAGTTCTTTATAATAGTATATAATGAGTATCTTTGACATTCACGAAGAAACCCTTTTGTTTCAAAACTACTGCTAACTCTTGTGAAGTATAACGTTTGCGGTCAATGACAATAGCTAATGGTCTGACATACTGACCGAACTTAGATTCTTTCACAAACTTCTTGTTAAAGATAACATTGACGTTTGAAGCACCATTGAACTCATTCTTGATGGCAGTAGCGAGAGCATTGTATGAAAAGAACTTGCAATCTTGCATGTGTTTCATTAAAATAAAAATATTAAATTATTTTGAAAAATAACTTAAAAAAAATCTAATCTAATTTTTCAAAAAATATTTTTTTTATTTCCTACTAAAGATGTATCGGAAGTTGTCTAAGTTAGAACACTCGGAAATAAAACAACTTCTTACAGAAGCTAATATAGATGTTGCAAAGCATTACACAACAAACAAAAAGGCACTCGCTGACTTCATTAAAGACTATAATGGTGCAATAAGTTATGATAGAATTCATGAGTTCATAAAGCCGCAACGCGGCGAGGACGAAGTCCATGCAAGAGCATTTCCTTTAAATGACGTTGCTATTGACTTATATCATAGACGTTCAATACCTCATGAAGTAAGAAGAGAAATGTTTGACATAACAAATGCAAACGTTGGTGAAACACGAAAGAGAGATGACACACTGAAACAACAGAGAAGAGAGATGTTTAAAAGTGCTATAGAACAAGTTCGCAAAGCTAACGATGTCATTCGTTCCATTGACGACAAACCAAAAGAAGGTGAGAGATGGTTAAAGAAAGATGAAGAAAATAGGAAGAGGAATGTGAAGTCAGGCAATAGACTCATTGACTTTAACATCGAAGCTTTAGATGAACCAAACAGAGACTACTTACACAAACATTTTGGTAAGGTTTTCATGAGACTCTTAGAGAAAATTAAAATAAACTCACAACAGAGATGGATGGTATGTTATAAACTTGGTGGAAAGTATGAATGTTCTACGTTAAACCTCAATAATATTGGAACATTACTACATCAGCTCTTGAAGGAGAACTTTATATCAGAGATAGAAGCAAATGCTGCAGGTATTGTTGAAATGCACTATGACTTCTTCTTGACAAACATAAAGAATCTTACCGAATAAAGATGTATGATTTAACAGAATATGAAGGCTTAACGATGTCAGATGTAAAGAAAGGCAAACCAAAAAAGAGACCATATAGAGATGAAAGCACACTGACAAATGACCAGAAAGCCATTTTGGAAGCTCTTAAGCAAACAGGAAACCCAGCACTTATAGAAAGCTTTTGGAAAGATAATGGTGAAAAGAAGTTTTATAAGAAGAGAAGCGGTCAGTTCTGGAAGTATCTTTGCACATTACCTATAAATCTTGAACGCTACCAAATCTTCAATGAACTGAACAAAAGAACTGCAACACTTATGACAGAAGATAACTGCTTCGTTTATGCTTGCATTCAGGCTGGAGTAAATGAAGAAACTATTGACCACATGAGAGAAGTCATTCGTGTTAGAGACTTTCCTCAAAGTAAAGTACAAGAAATTTCTGACGCAACAGGTATATCATTTAATGTTACCATTGGTTATTTCAATGACTCAAGACATAATGAAATAAAGAGATACATACCAAAAGAATGTGAAACTGTTCGAACTATTGACTTACTTCTTGTTGAAGACCACTACATGCTAAATGAAAGACTTCCAATGACAACATACTTCATTCGAAACTATATAGAAATCTTGAAGGAGTGTGGTGGAATGAACATTGAAAAACAGATGAAAATATATACAAAGAGAGAAGATAAATATGTAGTTCGTTATGATAGAACAACACCGCTATGGGATGTTATGAAAACATTGTGGGAGTGCAAATATTTCGAACCTATTTCTTATGGAGAACTTTTCACATATACTACTGACTTATATAAACAGAACCTTGCACCATTTAAAGATTTGACATATGCTCCAAAGTATTGTGTACAACTGAAGAAGAAAGCAGAGTCAAAAGAAGTAAATAAAGCTAAATGTAAATTCATACCTGAGCACGTTTTCTTTGCTGACTTTGAGTGTAGTACGGATGGCTTTCATAAAGCTTTTAACATCTGTTATGACAGTGAAGATGGTTCAGTTAGTGAAAGCATTTGGGGTCAAAACTGTGCAACAGAATTTTTGGAAAGACTTCCTGACAAGAGTTTAATATATTTTCACAACCTCAGTTATGACATAAACTTCATCTTAAGACACATGACAGAAGTGAAAGGAACTCCCATCATTAAAGGTTCACGAACAATGCAAATAACTGGCTTATATAAAGGACGGGCAATTATTATAAAAGACTCTTACAGTGTTATAAATAAGAAGCTTAAACTATTTCCTGCTATGTTTAACTTACAAACAGGACCGAAAGAAGTATTTCCATATAACTACTACAGCAGTGTTTTGTTAGCAAATGACAACAGAACTGGTGTCATTTCTGAAGCATGTAAGTTTATCCATGATGCAGATACATTTATGAAGAACATAGATTCCATCAAAGGTTGCAGAATAGATGAAAACCACTTCGACTTAGAAAAATATAGCACGTTTTACTGCAAACAAGATGTAAGAATTTTAAGAGAAGGTTTTGTAAAGTTCCGCAATGACTTATTGAAAGAGTTTGATTTAAACGTTTATGACTACGTTAGTATTTGTTCTATTGCTAACAAATTGTTTGAGAACAGAGTATACTTCCCGAATGGAAATCTTTATGACCTCTCAAATAAACCAAGAGAATTTATTTCGAGATGCATTCAAGGTGGAAGATGTATGTTGTCAGATAACATGAAACAAAAGAGCAAAAAGAAACTCATTGCTGACTTCGACACTGTTTCATTATATCCTTCAGCTATAGCAAGACTTTATACTTTAGAAGGAATTCCAAAAGTATTGAAGGATGAGATGCTAAGCACAGAGTATCTCATGAGACATTTATTCGATGATGACCAAAAGGAACCCATTGGTGAAAAGTTTATGTCTGGCTTCTTTGTTCTCATTAAGATAACAGAGATTGGTATACCCAGACACTTTCATTTAATAGTTTGCGACCCTGAACTAAATCCAGAACTTAACGTTCCAAGAAGTTCAAACACTTGCTGTCTCATGTTTGTTGACCATATAACATTACAAGACCTCATGAAATATCAAGGTGTCAAATGTGAAGTGTTGCAAGGATACTATTACGATGGAAACAGAGATATGAGAATAAGAGATGAAGTAAAGAAGTTTTGAGTTAAGGTTAAAGTATAAGAAAGAAGGAAACCCTTACAAGAAATTATAAAACTCATTCTGAACAGCATTTATGGCAAAACTATTCTATCTCCTATTGAGTCAAAAATAACCATAGTAAATGACAAAGATGCTATAAGATATGCTATAAGAAATTACAACCATATAGTGAAGTTCGAAGGTTTGGATGGTTCAGATAAAACTATTTTCAAGCTAACGAAAAGCATTTGCAGACACTTTAACTTCTGTCCACTTGGTGTTAATATTCTGTCTATGTCAAAACGTATTATGAATGAAGTATTCTGTACTGCAGAGGACATGGGACTTCAAATCTTTTACCAGGATACCGACAGTATGCACTTATATAATGAAGACATCCCAAAGCTTGCAGCAGAGTTTAAGAAGAGATATGGTCGCGAACTTATAGGAAAGAACCTTGGTCAATTTCATAGCGACTTTGCAGAAATAACACCTGGAAAACAAAGTTTAGCATACAAGTCAATATTTTTGTGGAAAGAAGACCTACATTGACTTACTCACTAAACGATTTAAATGAAGTTGCATTTCACTGCAGAATGAAAGGCGTGAAGCAAGATGTTATTGCTTTAACCGCTAATGAAATGTTTCCTGAAGCTATACAATGCTATTACAATGAAGATAAGAAACATTCACATACCTGTTGGAACATGTGACAAAGACTCTGAGTTCAGTTTAATGAAACTTTACAAAGCACTTTATGATGGTCAAGAGATTGCATTCGACTTATGTAAGTCATGTCAACTTGCTTTGCTGAAAAGTTCAACTTTTCAATAACGACTAAAACAAGCTTTATTCGTAAGTTGAAGTTCTGAGGTCATGGGCTTCGCCCTTGCCGCTAGCGGCTTATTTTTGTCAGCAATGAGGTCATTCGTGATAAAAATAAAGCTAGCGTAGATTTTACAATACTGCTGCGATGGTAGAGTTTAAGAGTTGTGCTTCAATGTAGAGACAGTCTTTATGGTCTGGAGGTAAGAACACTGGGCAGTTATGGTCATGAGTGGAGAACATGTCTATCCAAAACTCACGATTGAAGCCAGTTAATTTATAGTATTTAGGGTTAGGAAGTGGTGAAGTTCTTGTATGGACCAATGAACTCATTTTCAACGCCTTTGGCTATATTAGAGTAAAGTATTGCTTGCTTTCTATCCCAAATGCCAGGTGTTACAATCTTTGAAAATTCATTTTTCCTCGGAAGCATTGCATCATAATTGAAAACATTCTTGAAATCATCACTTGGTTCAGAGATTGAAATCTTATACGTAATGGATTTTTTTTTCTCTTTAGCGACTTCATTGAATGGTGAGATACAATGAATTGACAGTCATGAGTTCCATCTTCATTTTCATTAAATTCATAATGAAAGTCTATAAGTTGTGGCTGACTCCTTCTTCTTTCAGTTGTGCAAGAAACTCACGTAAAGGCTGTAAAGTTTGTACTTCAATGTTGAACTTTTCTCGAACATCTCATTAAATGAAATCATACATTGTTGCAATGTTGTATCGTCTTTAAAGTATTTGTATATGTGAATGTTTTGGGCGCTTAAAGACTGTTCGTCATTTTCTATCTCGACTTGAAGTATAAAGTCAACCTTTCTGAAAGCACGTGTTATATACATAGATGTTATGCCAATGTACTTCTCTTCATTTATGTTCACAATCCAGTCTGTTGGAAACTTAAACGTTACTCTGTTCCCCTTTATTTTGACGTCAGGGTTTTCACTACTGAACGCAACAGATAAAGGTATTTGTCTATACATTTAATTCGGATAAAAATAAACCATTTACTCTTTCTTTGCTTCAGCTTCTTTAGCTTTTTGTTCTTCTCTAGCTTTCTTCGCCAGCAAACGTGGGTTCTTTTGTCTTCCAGCAGCTAATGCAGCTAGTTGTTTTTCACTAAGTTTTCTCTTTGGTCTCTCTGGCTTTTGTTCTTGTTTTTGTTCCTTCATTCGGATAAAATTTTGCTCGCGAATTTCTTTCTTCAATGCTTCAACATCTATGACCTTTGGGTCTTGTCCGTAGGGCTTGTCTGAGTCATTTGACTGTAGATAAAAAACTAAATTAAAACTTTAACCGATGTAAAATGAGCTTGTCAAAATCAGAGCGAGAGTCTATTATATTAAATGACGCAGAGGAATACAACATCCTTTCTATTACGTAAGTCAGAGTAAAGATGGTAAAATATACGTAAGAAAAAGAAAGGTTCCATTAGCGAATACAGAGAGCGACAACATTAAGGTGCATGGCAAGGGAAGCCCACGAAGCCCATATAAAACCTTCTGTTCAAACTGAAAAGTCAATAGAACAAGAAGAAAAGAAGCCAGATGTTCTTTCAATAACGAACCAAGAGCTTATTGCAAAGTTCGTGAATTTCATTGAAAAACAAACCGAGTCAAAGAACCCTGACCCGCCAGTGAAAGAAGTTGAGACAAAAGAGAATGTACAGTTCATTGAAAATGTCAAGAAACAACTTCCACCACGAATACCAAGAAGAAGAGTGAGAATAATGAAGTAAATAGATATTTTTATCTGAAGTAAATACATGCAGAACGAACAGTTAAACGAATTTACTCCAGCAGAGCATATTCATCAGATTCGCTCATATTTCGATATCATAGACAATGCAGTTCAAATTGGTGACACTAATAGAAAATATTCTGACGCAAAGATTCCATCACAACCTGGAACTGCTAAAGATAACACATGGGTAACATTCAATCTCTCACCTCCTGGTGAAAATATGTTGGACCTTTACAATACATTCATTACGTATAAAATGGAAGGTCAATTTATTGCAGATAAAGAAATTGGTTCAGGTTCCAATAAAACAAACCCACCAGGATTTTGGATTGGTTTCGATGACGCTTTCTATGCAGTTGCTGGATATCAAATCCTTGCAAATGGTCGTATCGTATATTCTCAAGACAACGCAAGAGAAGAAGCATATATAACTTCAAACTCACAAACTACCGAACAAATAAAGAAAGTAGATGTTTTCTCAAAGACTCGACATGAAGATGTATGGAGTCATTCGGGAACATGCAGAACAGGACAAATTGTTAGTGGTCCAATTACAGCAGGAAAATCATTTGATTTTAAGCTTCGTTTAAGAATTCCTGTTAGAAGATTCCTTCCATTAGAAGCTATTCGATTTATTCCAGCTTTTGCAGGAAACATTCAGCTTAAAGTAAAGTTCAGTAGCGACGCCTTACAATGCACATCTATATCTGTAAATGATATCATTGCTTTCAATCCAACTCTTAAAGTTGCATTTGCTTCAGATTCAAATCCACCGACAAATAAATTTGTTCCATGGAATGAACCATTCACTATGATAACGAAGGCAGTAGAAGCTAGTGGAACAGTTACTATTACAACTGTAACCAGCAACTATTTCGAACAAAGATGGATTTTAATGAATGTTTCATTCATCCAAAGTCATTCTCTTTAGACCCTAACATTTATACAGAACTTGTAGAACATTATACAAACGAGGCTTTATGTTTTCCTGTTAAAGTTATGGATTGGATTCCTATGGACGGTTCATTCTCAAAGAATACAGATAGTTCAAGTGCAACATTTACAGCAGCTTATACGCCTATTAATGTTAAAAGTATTTGGGCACTATTTAGAAAGAAAGACAACTATTATGTTAATTTTGAGAACCCTAAGTTTAAATATCTTCAGCTTTCCATGGGAGCTTATGGAAATATGCCTGCAGAACCTGAAAAATCATATGGACCTGTATTTTATGAAATGGTTGCGAACGCTTGCAATACAAACAATGATATGATAGGATTTAATGAAGATGTTATGAGGTCATTGGTGGATGATGGTAGTGTGGAACATAAATGGGATAGCTATGACAACACACATTTCTTATGTGGTTTTCCAACAGAAGTGGACTTTTGCTTCCAGCAAGGTCAAACATCTACTGCTCCAATAACATACAAATTGTCTGTTAAAGGACCTATTGAACTAGCAACTGAAAACGTACCAAAGCCACTTATTGGATTTATGAGGGATTGTTGCTTTGCCATTCAGGTGCGTGCTAATGGAATCCCAATAATAAGATTAGATGACTATAACTTAGCAACTGACGACAGTGAGGAATAAAGGATGAACGTTTATTTTTAAAGCTTATAAATGAGTTCTTCATCAAGCTCTCGTGAACCTTCACCATCTATGAAACAAACTTTACCAAACGATTATGGAGCACCTATTGAATATTTCTTACGAGCTGCACAATGGCAAAGAGCAGTCTCACCAAGGTTAGGTGTTCCACCAGCTCCTGTCAAAAATAGCATTTGGTCAAGTCCTTATATAAAATATGGTCTCCCACTAGGTTTGCTAGCTACAGCAGGAGCAGTAATGATGTTGAAAAGAAACAAAGCAAATGTTATAAATAATACTGAAGTAGCTGAAGTTAAACAAACTCCGACACCATTCGCCAAAACCAACGCCTTCACAAGCAAAACCTTCAAAACTCCTGAACCTATGGAAGTACAAACTCCTGTTCAAAAGTCAACTCCTAAACCGACTCCAACATTTAAACCAGAACCCACGCCTCAAATAAATCGTAAAACTCCTGCGTTTCCTTACTGAAAAAATAACGTTATTTTTATTTAATATTAAAATTTTTATTTGATTGAAATGACGACTAAAGTCACTGAAGCAATGAAACAAAAATTTTTGGTAGAATACATTAAATCAGGAGCTATTCCAGAAGGTTTTTACGTTCATACTATGAAGGATGGTAGAGTTCAGTTTAGAAAGATAAAGCAACCATTAGATAGAGAAGGTATATTAAGGAAGATTAAACTTCATGAGGACAACATTGCTGAACTTAGAAGAAGTTAGAAGAGTTGGAGAAAGGAAGAGAGTTATAAAGTAATGAATTCAACGGGTGAAAAAAGAGGTGAAAAAACAGGTGACATCTCACCACTTCACCTAAATTTATTTTTGCGCTATGTTTTCATACGTGTGAGGGTGGTGATATCATTAATTTTTTATTTTATTTTTAAGTTTATTTTTTATTTGGATGTAAATGACAGAACAAAAGCAACTCATTCGAATTCCACAGTATAACAAACATACATTTAAACATTTATTCTTCCTTCCTGAGCATAACATGTTCTTTCAAATACATCCGAGACCAGTTGACTTTTCATTGACTGTGTATAAAGATAGAAATAGTTATATCATTAAACCATACGATGACGAAGGTAAGTTATGTAAATTGTACGTTAAGAAGTTAGAGAAAGTTTATGGCTTCAAGTATGACTACAATAGGGTTAACACTGATGATGAAGATATTGAGGAAAATTTATGAGAACATTAGTGAAGTCGTTAGTGAGAACGATAGTGAGAACGTTTATTTTTACATTAGTGAGTTCGTTAGTGAAGTGGTTGGCGGCTTTGTAAATATTTAAGGTTAAATTAGTTTTTGCGTTCATGTTGTAAAATATACGTTAACGGTTTTGTAAAGTGTCAAATTCACAAGTATTGGGTAAGGAGGTGCGCAGTGCCACCATACCCAAGACTTGTATACTAACTGAAAATAGGGGCGCCTTTCAAGATCTACTTGATCTTTGGGGCGTCCAATGGCGGCATACAGACTCTCATTCTCCCTACCAAAATGGGAAGATTGAGAGATTCTGGCCGACATTGGAGCGCTGCCAAAGCATTCAGGCTATTCCTGCCTTTATTTGGGAGTACAATAATAACACACCGCATGAAGATCTCCCAATTAATCCATTAACTGGAACAAATTACACGCCAAATCAAATGTATCAGCTGAAACCGAAATACACAAATGCAGATACAGAAAGGTTGTGGCAAATATGGGATACAGATACAGGCATGACCGCTGTTGACACATTCACAGCGTAATAATAAACATAATTTTTTAATTTCATTTTTAACAAGTTTTTTTAAATGTATGTAATGAATAATTCATTAGAATATGATAATGCACATTGTAACAGTATAGAACAATCACCAAATTTTTTTTGAAATTAAAAAATAAAAGTAAAAAGTATAAAGTAATCTAACCAAAAAAGATATTTAAAAGAATTTTGGAAAAAAACAGAATAAGGATAATGATATTATTTTAGATACACAATCGATGTACTGAAGAATAATCCGGTAAAATGATGATATAAAATTAGATTATTTTACAAGTAGCTAAAAGAATAAAACTATAATATAAAATAAATGAAGTTTAATGAAACAATAAAGGTTAAATAAATAATAAAGATTTTTATTTTATATCAGTATTGAGAAGAAGTAACAGCTGACACTTGGTAGACAACTTCTTTATGTCTAGAAAATTCTATCTTGCCTTTTATTTTTTCTCGCTGTGAAACGTATTCGGTCTTTTTTTTAAAAATTAATTTTTTGTTAGAGATAAGAGCTAAAACTCGGTAAACAACTTCTTTATGTCTAGAAAATTCTATCTTGCCTTTTATTTTTTTTCTCGCTGTGAAACGTTTCGGTCTTTTTTTAAAAATTAATTTTTTGTTAGAGATAAGAGCTAAAACTTTGCAGACAACTCCCCCATGTCTAGCAAATTTAACATTCGTCTCCCATTTTTATATATTTGGTTTAGAATGTTCGAAAATGCGTAATATGGTCATTAATATTAATTGAAAAGAACCTTGAATTAATTCAATCTGATCTCACAAAATATTTTAAATTACAAACTTTGTAGTTTGAATAGATAATTAGTATTAAACGCAAATAACTAGTTTATTTTTGAATAAAAATTATTTGAATTTATTCAATTTTGTGAATTTTCCTTCAAAAATCAAGTTTAAATATCTTATTTGCCATATAATTATAAATACAATGAAACATATTCGAAATTGAAAAGAATGACTTTTTCTGTTCTTTCAATCATTCAATTTGAATTTTGCAATATTGGATTTCTCATTAAATAGCTATTAAAAACAACAAGCAATTTAACTTACATTCAAATTTATTTGTGTTATATTCAATCTTCTCAAAACTTATAATTTTCGGCTATAGCATGATTATATGCTATATAATATAATAAACCTATAATAGTATCATTCTTTCAATTATTTGAAGAGAAAACCGAAAAAATCTATTTTCGGTCTATAACATTTTAGGAATTTTCTCACTTTTCTTCCAAATTGATATCCTTAATTTCACACATCTAATTTAATTATAGAAATGAAGTTTACTATTTTTTCATTCTTCACATCTTATTTTTTTCAAATTATTCATTTTTTAAAAAATGGAAATTCGACTTCTATGCATTTGCCAAAGAATTTATAACTATATGAAATGCATTTTATATCATATATTTAGAATCTTATTGCATTTCCAAATTCTTTATAATTAGAATCACTATTCCATTCATTATTCAAAAATGATTTATTTGTAATTGTTCAAACATCCTAAAGCAACTATAATGCAAAATCATGCTGAGATTTAGTAATGTTTATTTGTCTCCATAACAATTGAAATGGCCGAAAATTATTTAGTAAATGCAAGATATAGAAGCCTATAATAATGTATCATAGTTATTAAGGTGAATACAACTGTTTCTTATGTTTAATTTTTATTAATAAAGTGAACATTTTAAATATAATGAAAGTAAATACTCTTATTACTTTGAATACAATGAGATGAATCGCCGAATCTTAATCATAGATTTTGTTAGGTCATATTGAAATGAATGAAAATTAATCAAAGATTTGTAACTATATATACTATCGATTTGTTAGCTCTAGTATTAAAAAACTTATTGTAAACTCAAATATATAATTTATAAATAAAATATTTTATATAAACAAAAACGAGAGAATTTTTTATAATAAAGACTTAATAGCTGGTATCTTTGTTCTATCGGCTGCTACTTCACCTTCAAAGTCCTTTAATTCCTTGTTTGCGCCGTTGGCAAGTAAGAATTTCACCAATTCGTAGCTTCCAGCTCCAGCGGCCTCCATAAGAGCTGTAATTCCTGTAGTTGTTTGTGCGTTGATGTCATTGTGCTTAAGTAAGTACTTGACCAAATGATTATGTCTCATTGAAGCTGCAACCATGAGAGGCGTTGTATAAAAGCGGTCAAATGGCTTCAGGTTGTAACCTTTTGCAAGTAAGAAGCAGAAGAATTGTGTATTGAAAGAAAGAATTGCTTTTTTGATCGAATGAGAGTTTTCTAGATCGTAATGTTGAAGAAGTGTTGATAAGAACTCATTACGATGATTCTCAATAGCAATTTCTTGTGCTAATTCGAATGATAATCCTTTCTTTCTGACCCAATCGATGATTTCTGGGTTTCCACCGATAATTGCTGCTTCAACAGTGTTACGGGTGACTTCCATTGGACGGCAGAGTAAGTAATAGAATGTCTTTGGCTTTGCAGAGAAAGCAGCAAGGTCTAAAAGGTTATAATCAACGCTGTTGATTTCAACAGTGCCATCTAAAGCTCCCTGCTTGCCAGAAAGCTTCTTGAGTGTGTCAACATCTTCGTTTAAGACGGCAGCCTGTGGAGAATCTTTTGGATAGATCTCTTCGTATTCTTTGGCTGTTGCCTCCCAAGAGAAAATTGTTTGGTCATGTAAACCGCGGCGATGGAGATAGTCTGAAAATCTTGTATTTGTATATGCGGCTAATTTCCAGCCTAATCCAGCCCACAAGTCGCCATAGAGCTTGAATGAAACAGCATGTGTCTCAGCAGCCTTGTTGATGCAGTTGTAGATAAATTCGTGATCTTCTTCGCCCTTTCCGGAAAGATATTTAATTGCTTCTTGAAGCTTTTCTTGTGTGAGACCAAAAATGCAATCTTCAATGGCAACGGTCTCTTTTAATTCTTCAGGAACACAGCTCAAGTCGAATGTCATTCTGGAGAAAAAAATCATAAGTGATCGGCCTCTTCTGAATTTAAATTTTTGTGATTCAAAAATATTTTTTGAGAGCTATTCAGCCAATTTCCATGGAAAAGTGACCATTTTCTGAGGATTCGATAACTTTTTTGGAGAAAGATTTACAAGTATATATCAAGAGAAGATTTATAAAATTTTAGAAAAATGCGACACTTTTTAATTTTAAATTTTAGAAAAAATGGATGAATTTAAAGCATCTGATTCATTGATTGAATCACAAATGCAGAATAGAAGTTTAATCAAACCTGAATCTATCGATAAAAGTCGAGTTGTTGTTCCAGACTATGATTTTTTTGCAAATTTGACTCCAGAAACACCTTTTCAAATCATTGCTGACAAAATGATTGAATTTCGTGGATCGGTATCAGCGCATGATTTCGAAAATTGCGAAAACAGTAAAGCAGCAGTTCAAAAATTCATGGAAATAGTTGGTTCAAACGAATATCCTCCTAATATCATCCCAACTGCTTTTACCCTCATCGCTTTATGCTCAAATTCCAAAAATTTGGACTATTCTCTTATATATTTCGATGAATTTATGGATTTTTTATTTGATGTTTTATTTACAGCCAAGAATCAACAAATACGACTTTCAATACTGCAAATACTTATCAATTTAGTATACCTTAATCATCAAATTGCCAATGATTTCTTTCAAAAAATTGATTGGGAACAATTTTCAAATTTACCTGATGCAGAATCTAAAATATTCAACGAGTCTATTAGTTGCTTCATTTTTACACTATTATATTACTCAAATGTACCTTCTCCTGCTCATTTTGATGCTATTTTACTTGTTTACCTACAAATCTTTAATACTAATGTTTTTGATATCAAGTTTTTGATATCCTTGAGGTGTTTCATTAGAAAATCAAAGAAAATTATTAAAGAAAATAAAATTTCGCTTCAAAACTTGGTTATTCGAACAAATGCGCTATTACAACCATTTAACCAAGAGATCTCTATATATGCCTTGCAGTTTCTAGCCTCTTTAACGTGGAATAATGACATAATTTTTGCAAATTTTGATTTTATTATCAAATCATGCCGGAATCCCGAGAACAAAATATCTATTGCTGCTCTGATGTTTATGATGAAATATTTTGATAAATTTTTTGAACAAAAGATTGAAATACCAAATAGCATTTTAGAAGGAATCCAAAGTTCGGATTTGATCGAATCTGTCATAAATAACTTGCTTCAGAGCAAATTCGAATCAAAAATTCCTTGTATTCATATTTGGCGTCATATGATTCGAATTGGATTGAATGGAATCAACAAAAAGATGATAGACCAAGATATATTCGATACCCTTATTTCTTTATTGCCAGAATGTAAATCAGTGACTCAAATTTACGTAATGCAAATTTTATTAGATTTAATTCACTTTGCAAAGACAAAAAATTTAATAGATAATATAAGTATCGAAGGAATCCAAGAAGATTTGGATTCAATGTTTGATTCTTGCCAATTGATTCCTGATTTCAATGAATTGGTTCAAATCGTTCAAGAATTGCTGCCTGATGAATAGAAAAGATATTTCTATTACCAATTTAATTGTTTTTTTATTTAATATCAAAAAAATACCTTCAAATTTCAAAATTTTTGTGATTTATCTCAGATATATCTATTTATTTTTGACATGTTTATTTAATTGTTTTGTAAAAGTTCATAAATATACAACGTAGTAAAATATTTTTTATGTTTTTTAAATTTTTATTCGTTTTGATGCATATGCTATTCAGTATTGCAGTCAGATACATTAACTATTAACTTTCAATCAGTCTTTGTAGCTAATGAAATAATTTTATTGAAATTGTATTTTTTCAAATAATAGGTGCATTCAATGGAAAGAGGGATAGCCGCTTTATCAGCCTATCCCATTCATCTATCTCTTATTTCAATGAGATCACCATATGAAGTGACGATTGAAAATTGAAAAGCACTTTTTCCCAAAATTGGGAAAGCATTTGCCACAGTATAGAATCAATCAATCATCTCATCTCACAAAAACTTTTTGGTGGAACCGAATAAATCAAGTTGGGGAAAAAAATCATAACGTCGGAAAAATAACCTAAAAGTGGAGAAAATAACTTGTAGCAGAGGTATTTTTCAATACAAATGAGCAAACTTTTGAAACACAATTTCCTCTACATCAGATAATCTGCACACTGGTAGAATTTGGGGTGATTTTACCCATGAGGTTCAAATTATGAATATCTTATTTACTGAAATAATATGAGTTAACCGAACTATCTCATGCGGTTTAAGATGATATGGGGTAAGCATGTGATATATATGCTTAAAAGGCAAACTTAAGTTTTGAAGATTATCTTGAAATTAAGAATTTAGAGTTGGAATTCTCATGTGTCACCACTGCTGTATGTATATAAACAGATACAGAGCTGTTTGGCTATCAAAAATAACCCAGTTTTATTGAAAAATATGGGTGCTACAAGTTAAATTTCTGCTACGGGGTTATTTTTTCAACGTTAGTTGGTCACTTTACAAAATTTTGATTGAAACATTTTTTTTATCATAAAAATGCTTGCATCAATTTCTAGGAGTGCTGTGAAGATCCACTGGACCGGAAAGGGTTGCGACAAGATTGTAGAAGGTCATAACGGTGAAACTCTTCTAAAAATAGCCGAAAGAAACAAACTCCCGCTTCCAAATGCATGTGAAGGCAACCGTGCTTGCGCTACATGCCAAGTATACGTCAACAAGGGTGGAGATTTATTAAACGAGATTAGTGATGCTGAATACGATACATTAGACTACGCAGTTGATCTTAGAGAACAATCCCGCCTCGCCTGCACATGTGTCCTTCAGACAGATGATGGTGAGATGGATGTTGTTATTCCGGAACGTTGCCGGAACATTGATGTTAGTGAATTTAAGAAGAAGAAATCAATTCTTTAAAAAAAAATACTGATTATAAAAAAATAAACAATAAATTTTTACGCTTTCTTTTCATCCTCCTCTACAGCCTCAGTCAATTTATTAATAAGAGCTTGAAGTGCTGATGGTTGTTCGCCCTCTGGCGGATGAGCTTTCAACGCGTCCAAAACAATGGGACCTGTTGATGTAATTAGCTTCATTATTGAGTTCATATCACTTGAAGAGAGTTTCTTTTGTTGTTCAACACTAGTTGTTCGTTCAACAAGGAAATCTAAGCGTTTTTGCATCGATGCATTCTCTTTTTCTATATCTTCGCATTGCTTTGTAAGTTTCTCGATAGTTTGTGCACTAACTGTTTCTATTTCTGCACGTTGTTTTGCATATGAAACTTCATTATCAGCAATTTGCTGTTTTAAGCCTTCCATCTTCTTTTTATATCCAGCAACATCTTTTTCTAACATCTTTTTACGCTCTTCAATGAGAATATTTTCACGTTTTATGTCATCAATCTTTTTAATTAATTCTGTATTCGAATTTAATATATCTTTGCTCTTTAACTGATTCTTTTTAAGTTGCTCTGTAACTTGCTGACTATCTTGAATACATCTAATGGCTGCAGCTTCTAAACATTCATCTTTCATGTGAACTGCAGCTTGTTCAGCTGCTTTAACACGGCGTTTGTTTTCTTCTTCGAACTGCTTCTTTTCGCGTGAAAGTTGTTGATTTAACTGCTCCATTTTTTCTTGATGAAGTTGTCTTTGATCTACAAGGTTTTGATCAAGTTGGCGTAGCTTTTCTTCCATTTGAGCTCTTTGGCTTTGAAATTCTCTTAATGATTCTAATTCTGTTTGGTACATCAACAGTTCTGATTTCAAAAGAGACTCTTGTTCTGCATGTTCTGTACGTTTCTGTTGTAATTGTTGTGCATATTTCGAAATTGTAGCTTCTAAGTTTGCTTTAGCAGTATCGATTTGTTTATTTAATATTGCTTGTTCCTGATTTGAATTTTCGACTTCTTTTTCTAATATTCTTATCTCATCATCTAAATTGCGCGTTTGCTCTTGTAATTTTTCTCCCAATTTTCTTAATCTTGAGCGAGATCTGGCTGATTCTACAATTGCTTCTTCATTTGCAGAGCGAGCTGAATGTATTTCGCCTTCTATATAGTTACTCTTTAATTTGAGGCGCTCTATTTCTTGCCCTGGTGTAAGTTTCTCTTCTTTTGTGTTAGTCATTGTAAAATCTTCACTGACATGGGAATTGAGAAGCCCTGAATTTATTAACGTATTTTGGAATTCTAGGGAAATAGATGATATTTTCCTTTTAGTTCAAGCTAAAACCAAACAAGCAAATTAAATGCTTAGTAAGTACTTGACTTGTATCATTCATAACCATATAAATAGAAGAAAAATCATTATAAAATCTTCAATTATTGCTTATATCTTAAAACTGGCATCCAAATTTTGTCACAATGCGATAGTTTTGCTTCAATTTATTCTTTTTCATCTTATTTATATAGACATATGTCCATAGGAATCAATTTGCCCTTATTTTCATGCAGAAACTAATGACAATGATATTTACATGTGACTCTATCATATCATCGATGAAATTTCAAGAGACTAAATTCTCTTTTTTCTTTTTGAAAAGAGTGAGTAGAAATTGTGAACATTGAGGAAAAAATAAAAAGAGCTAATGTATGAAATATATATTGTTTTATTGAACCATGTTGTCCGAACTAAGCACAATGAGAAAAACATCGATTTCGGATAAATTTATTTTCCAAAATGCGGAAAATTCTGAATTAAAGCAAATTTATAATTTGAAAATTAATTTGAGTGTTAAAAATATAAAATTTGGTAAACCAATAAAGAAATTTTAAAAAAACGAAAATAAAAAAAAAATTATTGCGCAGCGCTATAAGATTGAGAGGCTTGGGACTCTTCTGTTACAAATATGGCAAATACAGTCAAGAAGATGGCATAAAATACAATAAGAATTGTGCCTGTAACAGAGATATTCTTCATCTGAGTAATTCTAGTAGTTGTAAGATTCTGTTCTATCAGTTTTCTGGCACCTACGTCTGTATAGAAAATTTCGGTCTTATTAGCCATGTATGTACTGCAATTCATATTATGTGCGTTCTTAAAGGAAGAATCGTCGCATGGGTCTATATTGGGTATGTTTCTTTCTTCGCATGTACAATTGGTTTCGTCATAACCGAGTGTGTGTAAATTGCTATAGATGCCGTGGATTGATCCTACATAAGCATTTTCTTTTAAGAGGGTCTTAAATGTATTATCGAGTGAGTAATTTATGCCAACGGCGAATTTGTAAGTAAAAATATAAACAATAGCGAGGATAGCTGTGAAAAACGCGTATGAGCCTTGCCAGCACTTGTTATATCTGATATTTCCGGAGAGGCCAACGAGTAAAATAATGCAAGTCATCATAAGCTGAACTTGAAGGCTTGGCTTAAGAAGCCAGAAAATATAATCACCCCAGGAATTTCCACCATCGATATTAAGCTTTTTCTCGAGAACCGCTGTTATGGTAATGCAAGCAATGGCCAATATCAAGTTGATAGGGCCAAGGATAAAACGTATGGTGTTTTGTTTAAGAATCAGTTGCCACATTAGAAACTTTTAATTTGTGAGGTTTACATTATTGGAATAAAAGTGACTTCAAGGTGCTTTCTGATCAGAAAAGGTTTATTGTATGAAATACTTAGTGCTGAATCTGATCTAAATTTTGAAGGTTATTCGATTTCTGTCAGAATTGACAAAGTTGGTAAAAAACGCTAATAGTAACAGTTAATCAGAAAAATGGTTTTGTAAAAGGTTATTATGGATAATTATTGTATTTAGAATTGATTTGAAAATATCTCAAAAAAAAAGAAATCTCGAATTTCAACAAAAACTGCATCGTATTAAAAATAAAAAAAAAGATTGATCAAATATGTGAAAATAATTTGATGTTTTTAACGCGTAAAATGTTGAAAAAAATAATTTACCAATCTTCTGATGAGGACTCGTCTTCTCCTTCTTCATCATCAGAAGCCTCGACATCGGCTCTGATTGAAGCCATATACTGAAGCAGTTCACCGACAGAGAGAGCGTTTGGATCGACGTTCTTCTTTGGCTCTTCCTTTGGTTTTTCCGTTGAAGCCTTCTTGAGTTTGAAGTTTCCTTGTTTGATCAAATCCAAGTGGCTCATTCCGCCGCCGCCAGAAGGTGGAGGAGGTGGTGGAGCGCTTCCTGTTGACTTCGGAAGTGGTGGAGGTGGTGGTGGAGGAGCAGCTGCTGCTGGTGCAGGAGGTGCTGCAGGGGCTGGTGCTGGTGCTGGAGCTGCCTTGGATGAAGTCTTCGATGATGAGGACGATGATTTAGAGGACTTGGATGAAGATGATTTAGCTGGAGCGGGTGTTGGAGCTGGAGTTGGGTCTGGAAGCTGAATTGGCTTTGGAGCTGGTCTTGGTGTCCTCTTACGCTGCTCTGGAGTGGAAAGAATGGCTGGTTTGACTGTTGCAGCAGCAAATGCGACATCTTCACTGGAAGAAGTGATAGATGACTTGAACGTAAGTGGCTTGTTCCAGCCTGTGGTCTTTCCAACAGGTGGTGGCTGTTGTACGAGTGTAGGAAGTGGTAAAACTTTGACAATCATAACATTGAGAGCCTGTTCAGTTTTGGCTTCAAGACTCTCGGATCTCTTCTTTTTACCTTCACCCTTGTGTTTCTGGTTGACGAGGTTCTGACAATCTCTAAGCATTTCAGCCTTGAACATATCCATGAAGGATTCTGGGTTTGAGATGAGTTTGTCGAGATTCTGGTAGTCAGGAATAAGTGGCTTCCATGCTTCGAGTGTTGGTGGTGGCTTGGCAATTGAGTAAAGTACTTGAACAAGGTTATTCGACATTCCTAAGGAGATTGAGTCCTGATTTTGACCGATCGGAGCGCACATTTGTCTGCATGGATTCTTGATGAAAGCTGTTGCATTAACTTTTGAGAGTTTCTCGATACTTTGTGGAACTTTTTGTTTAAGTGATTGGTATTTCGCATTGATATCATCCATTCTCTTTTTGAGTGCATCGAATTCTTGTTCAATTCCTTGGAAGAGGCAATCGGAAATGTTTTGAAGTTCATCTAATTGCTGCATGAGGCCAATGGAATAGTAATATCCCAAAGCATTAAACAATTTAGTTGGATCCTCAGTCATGAACTTAGATGGTTCTGTAATAGCTGAGAAAGAGGTAACAGAAAGGCCGGGGAACATCTAAATTTTTTTGAAATTGACAAAGGTAGTCTCACGAAAATACGTTATTTTCCCGATGCCTTGGAAGCAGCTTTGCAGGTTACCCGTAAGGTAACCAGTAGAAGTTTCTGAGCAAGGATGAAGAAGATTAAAGAGCCTTTTTATTGCAAACGCTATATTTGTAAGTGTCTTTGTAGAACTTCTCATAAATTCAAAGATTTCCAAAAACGAATTTTTCGATTTTGATATAATAAATGATATTTAAACAAATTATAGATGTGTTTGCAATTAAAAAAATCCGAGTTAACTACAATATCTTCAATTTTTGTCGTTCACTTTTTCATGTCATACTGATAGCAAGAATACTCACCCAATTTGGTTACACTTCATGATAGTTTGAAGTAAAAAAATGCCACAGTTTTTTTTATTTGATATCGTTATCTAAATTTTGTACAGAAATGAAATAAATTATAATATGAAACGTGTGTTATTATGCTTGTTGGGAAACAATCCAATACTTATGTCTGAATGAAATGATTATTTATACGAGATTTTTCATATTCAGCTAATAATGCTATCAAAATCAAATAACAATAAAAAGTTATTTTGTACATAATGTAACTTAATCTTTAATACTATATAGAACTTCGAAATACGACTAAACGGTGCGATTAAATACCTTTTTTTCGATCGAAACTTGAAAGTGAGGATAACTCAATGGGTAGGGGTATGGGTTCGACTTTTTCTATTGGGCAACTATTTTTTTCTTTTCATTGTTTCAGCATTTTTTTATGCGATTATGCATAATTATTTGATTTCCTATATATTCAATAATAAATTTGTTCCGAACTCTTAACAAATAAATAAATTTTTCGAATATTTAAATTTATAGCTCCCTACATTAATATAAAGTGTTCGAATAGTTCATATATAGTTTCTTTAAAATAATTTGTTTCATTTTAAATTGGTTTGGCACAATGCTTGACATAACATGCACAAAGCTATGCCATTTTAAAATATGTATATCAATCAAGCTGATTAAGTCCATCCTAAACGAAAATCATCGATACTCATGAATTTATGATAGTCGTTCTTGATATAATTGCGCGTTTTAAAAAATGCTTACTTTTGAACACAGAACTTATCTATCCATATTTATCAATGAAAGTTTATAAGATGCATTAATGACAAAACCTTACTTTATCAATTATAATCTTATCGTAAATTTCAAACTACAATACTGTGGGGCAAATATTAAATAACCACTATGTTGCGGATTTTATGTAAGTCTGCAAACTGTAAAATGTAATTAAACACAAATAAAAAAAAATGTAAATTTTAATCGAGAAATTTAGCAATCTTGAAAGCCTTGATCGGCATCTTTTACAAGATGTCAGTAATGCATATTCAATAACTATGAAAATCTAGCCAAGCATGGATTTTTTTCGAAAAAAAAATTATATTAAATTTCATTTTTCATTCTTTATACAAGTTTTAACCTTTGGTGCAATTATATCCTATCGCAAATGCATTATTGACGTTATTACTTGGATACTTCTTCATAACGCTAAATCTTCAAATTAGTTATGTGTTTGTTACTAATAGAAGTTGGAAAGGTATTAAAAAAGGAAATGTTAATAAATATACATGTTTAATTAAAAAACAAACAAGAATAAATTAAATAATTTTATTTCTTAGGAAAGTCTAAGTTTTGTAATAGATAAATTGCTTTTTGTGTCTCTTCTTCATCAATTTCTGGATGTTGATTCTCAGGTGGCGGACTAATTAAAACATCATGGGCAATATCAAACCATTGTTTTAGTTCGTTGGCAGAAGGAAAATGATCTTCTTGTATTGGCGTTATTAATGATTGAAAATCATCAGTTGATTCTGCATTTTGGGAATTTTCCAAATTTTCATTTGGAAAATTTGAATTTTGAGATTGAATTCCTTGAGATGTAGAATCTGTAGTTGTAGAGTTTTCTGTAGAAGAAGAGGAATTTGAGTTTGCGAATTGTAGTATGTCATTGAAATTCTCATAAAGAGGTGTTTTGGCCATCGGCACTTTTTGTAACTGTGTTTCGTATGCTTGAGATGGGCAATAGCCCCTATTTTCTGAAAAAGGAACTGGAGCTTTTATTTCAATAATTTGATCCAGTTTTTGTCTTAAAATTTCCACTCCATTACGCGGAAAATCTTTGCTGTAAGGTTCAAAAACACTTAATGGTTGTGTGTGATTGTATTTTATTAATCTTCCCCAAACTGAAAATACCTGATCTTCGTGCCAACCAACTAAATACATAAGATCGGTCGTAATACTGGCAATATCTTCATCTGTGAATATATATTGGGACTTAATATCTTCTGGCATCTCCTCGACATTTGCCATATTTGCTCCTGAATTATCAAGTCTGCATTCTGACACAAGACGATCAAAATTTTGTTCACGGTAGGTTTGGTTCATTACCAAATGCGCTCCCGCACTCATCAAATCTTTAACTTCTTTTTTTGAATGCGCAAATTTTCGGAATAAGGCAAATAAATGTTCAACCGGAAGGGTTGTGAGATGTTGAAAATTTATATTCGGGAATTCCTCTAAAAATCCATAAAGAGTGAGAAGAGATGTCGCCATTTTCAGAAGATGCATTCTTCTGGCAAAAAGATAACCTTTGAATTTGAGACGATGATCTGGTGTCTCTATATTAGGAAGTCTATCAGTGACTCCGACCACATCTTGCAATCTGAGAAAGAAATGCAAGATGAAAAAAGCAAGTTTGAACATTGACAATCTTGCTTCAACTGGTAATATGGTATTTCGGACTCCCTCAAACCAAAGTGCAAGTGGAAGGAGCCAAGTTGCTTCAGTGTAGCAATTATTATCTAGCATATCCTTGACGGTTTGAACGTTAAAGATTGTTACAGGATATTTGTCATTGAGTGTGGTAGACTTATCACAGTTGTTAATTGCATCTCCAAGTTTGGAAAATAATCTAATTTTTGTAATATCGACGTGCAGCGTTGGATCATAAGGTTGCAAAAAGATTAACTTATTGGGGAAAATTAATAACGTTCTGAGGTTTTTGCCTATATGAACGACGTCCGCGATGAAGATAATCTTAAGATCTTGGAATTTTGCACTTTTAAGGACTTCTACTAATCCATCAAAGCCAGTAACTAGGCTGTACCAATGGTGAAAGAATATCTGATAAACAAAATCGTAAGATTTGTCACCATCAGTTGTAAAAACTGGAACATTCAGTGTTTTCTGAACTGTAGCAATGTAATCCAAGATTTCACTCATAATTCCAGATGCAAGACCATTTGTATGTTGTATTATATGCAAACATATTGATGGACCTTTGCAATCTAATGGCATCAAATATAATGCAAATAAGTCCTCGATTTGATCGTCATGGCCGGACTTCTTCCATAATTTGCCTGTGATTGCATCTATTCCAATGCAAAAATGGCATTGTTCACGTAATTCCTCATCTGTATATGGATATAATTCCCTGAATCTGAGGAATACTGGGAGTGAAGATGATTTTGAAAGCAAAAGTTCCTTCCATGCTGCAATATCTTTACCAAAGACTCGAAATAGAGTTGCTTTTGATGGCAACATAAGTTTCTGTCTTGCCAACAAATATTCTGAGGGTTGTTGCAATACAACATAAAGGCAAATTGAAGTGTCTCCGCATAGTATCGTCGGCTCTTTGAGTTTGGAAAATTTAAATTATATAACATGTTATTAATGATAACACACGTTAATTTATCTGCAAACGGAGGGTACTTAAATAATGGGGTATAATCATCTAATAATATTTCGCTTAAACTCAAGGATTCATCACCATTTGTTTCATCTTCATCTTGATCATCAGAATCATCTTCATTGTCATTGAGAGTTTCAAGATCTGCCTTTTCTGCTTCTTGTTCTAATTCGTCTGCAGTTCCATCTTGTATTTTTCTTTGTTCATTGATTTTTTTCATTTGCAGAGATCTTTGATAGCTTAGAGCACGGTTTTTGGAAGCTGCAATCATTGATTTAATAGTATTCTCTTGTAATAGTTTTGATTGATTGGGACTTGTTTGATAATCTGCGATATTATTATAAATAACACCAGGAAGTTTTTCTTTAATAAGCTTTTCAAGCTTCTTAAATGTGGCAATATCTACACATGATAAATTAATTTCTATCTTCTCACTGTTCATAATGATTTGTGGGAAAATGATTAAGTGGCCGAACACTTAAAGCATTTCTTTTTCGTTTTATATCAAAACAGATTTAGATAGCTTAAAACAATATAGTTTACTCATAAATACATCTTGATAATTCACTTCTTCAATTTTCATAATCTTATATCCTGACCTATATCCTCTTATAAACCATATTTCTACTGAGATCTTCTTAAAGCATCTTTTTATCCCTATCTACGCCTCGAAACCCTATTTTTCCGGAATATGAATCTTCGGGTCTCGCTGATTCGATTTCTGCAGTCAGATCGTAAAAATACCCACTACATAGCCTGATAATCTCAATTTAAGTTCCTTAATTTTTTTGAAAAAAAAATTAAAACACCCTTATCAAACATCATGCTCATTTTTACGAATTTCATTTTTCCTTTAAGTTTAAAATATACGCTTTTTAGCATGTTTATAATACATTTTCAATTTACATTTACATTTTTATTTTTGAATTGTTTATTTATATTTCCGTTTGAACAATAATATTTATTGAAAATTGTGAGAGAAACGGATATAATAAAAAACACCATACAACAAAATTCACTTTTTTTCATACTTACGCGGATCACTCCTTTTCGGCCCAATATGCCGGAAATGATAAAACTCTCAGATCTAGTTGCTAAGATCCAAACTCTCGACTCTCAAATCTACTTCCTCAGATCTTGTTGCTAAGATCTAAACTCTCGACTCTCAAATCTACTTCCTCAGATCTTGTTGCTAAGATCCAAACTCTCGACTCTCAAATCTACTTCCTCAGATCTTGTTGCTAAGATCCAAAC